TGTTACTGTTACTGTTACTGTTACTGTTACTGTTACTGTTACTGTTACTGTTACTGTTGTTTTTGTTTTTCTCACTATAATATATATTATTTAAATTAAATAAAATATATATTATTTAGACTAAATTAATTCTGTATTATATCTAAAGGGTAACACATTAGCTCGTCTTTTGTATTGCCAGTCGACCCACTTGCTTAAGAATAAGGCTGCCACGTGCCACACTTCTTCTGGGTACCACCCATCGACCCGCTCGACAGCGTGTGGCGGCTATTAATCCCGCACACATTTAACACCAGAGCCGTGCTCGAGGTCGGGTCCTGGTCCGAGTCGGGCCCTAACTGTGCATTGTATACGAGCTGAGTCCGAGCATTCGGTAAATTGTGCACATTTTGACACATCATTTGACACCGAGTGTCAACCTGTGAGCCCGAGACACAAATGAAAAGTTACCCACCCCAGGCGGACACAAAGGGCAGACACTCGCCGAGAGCCATGGAGGCGGCCGGGCGGGATGGCGGAGTAAAACATAGGGCTTCTATTAAGCATGATGGCAAGCAGGGCACACAACCGATGCTGTTACCCATCACAAGGCCGATGAGTCCTGATAAGTAGTGGCACGGCCATCGGCCACGTTTTGGGTCGGTGCCAAAATCTTGGCTGGCTATACGAAAATTACATTTTATAAATAGCCGTAGTTATCGGGCGCACTGGGCTTATTTTTGGACGAACAAAATTGCACAAGCTGTAAATTTCTGATGAGCAAGAGAAACTGCCCAATGAATAATATCACTCAGCCTTTACAATTTTCTATAAATTTTACACAAATTAATTAAGCTGCCCGTGTCACGCCAGCGACTTAATAAGTGCGAAGCAAAAGGATTCGCTTAATCTGCAGTGAGTCTTTAAAATTCGCGTCCCTTTGATCTTTAAGCAAGCGGGCTTAAAATAGAAAACAGCTTTAACATTTAATTAGTTGAGTGATTAATATTAAGTAATATCAGTTACTCATTAGCAAATTGACGCTAGGATATAACTCAAAGTCTTGGATTATACTTTAGTATTAAAAAATGTAAGTTTCAGATATATTTAATGTTATGGTCCTATTTTCGTTGTTGTACCGGCTCTACACTTATTAAAATAATTTAATAAAAAATATTTTAAAAAAAGTGATTAATAAATAAGGCATATTATTTTTAATAAATAAAATATTTAAGAAATAAATGTGAATATTAAATGGAAATTGTGAAATTTAAGGTTATAATAAGATATTGACTTTACTCACATTAATTCTCATACATTAACATCTAAACAATCAATGAATTCCATTCCAAGTAACAACTCAAGTATTTGACATGGCGTATACATAATGTAGATCTGCTGCCATTTATTCTACATAATAGCTGAGCATCGTTTGTCTAGCATACGAAATTGCAGAGAGCTTGAAACTATTTGGTGCAAAGACTTGTCAGAACAGAATTTACTCGCTTTAATCAATTCTGAAACAATCAATTTCTTTTTCTTTGCATTTTTTTTTGAAACAAAACTGCTTCAAGAGCTATTCCCCCCTAGTCCAGCTGTGTATGCATGTGTGTGTGTGTGTGTGTGTGTGTGTATCTTGATATCCATTTTTTATTAACTGTTGCATACTTTACGAGACTCCCTACAGGTGCTGCTATTGCTGCTGCTGCCAGGTTGTAATGCCCCCCAAAAACTCTGTCGCTGGAGTGCTGTTCATATATCAAAAAAGTTATTCAAAGCCGCGCTGTGCACTGGCGCTCACATGGCCAACGTTGATTTATTTAAAGTAAGCAAAAGTTATGCCAAAAACGCCATAAGAATGGTAAATTATGCATGGATGAGTGTGTGTGTGTGTGTGGTGGGCGTGGCACAGAGTACACGTGGGAAATATACAAAGTTTATAGAGGAAGCAGTAGGACGCAGAGCTCAGCAAGAAAAAACATTGATACATGCACTGGCCATATCGTTTAATTAAGCCACAGAGCGCATGGCGAGCCACTCAATCGCTTGCACTTTGAAGTGGTGTGTGGACGCTGACCCACCATTCGGTCCATTCGGTGGCACCTCAAGGTATGCAGAGCAAACATTTTAGCCAGCATAGGCGAAACAAGCGACACATCGCGTCCTTGTTATTAGCGCTAAGTTGCCATCAATTTAAGCAAACTAATCTGCTGACGAGGCCGGCAGCAGTTGATGTTGCTGTTGTTGTTGTCATTGTTGTTGTCATTGCTGATGTGTTGCTGCTGCGACAGGCACAACATAAACACGTATTCGCACAGGTAGCCAACCGACCACGCCCAGCACATGACAGAGCAGCAGTCGCTGCACAGCGACAACATGAATGTCAACAGACGGCCACAACATAGGGCAGCTTTCCAAAATGAAGCACCAACACATCACAGAGTCACAGACACTCACAGGCGGGCCGAGCCGCTGCCCCCATATGGAAAAGTTGTGAGGTCATCGCGTAACGTGATGCCAAAATTAACCCGCAAGTGCAACAACCGCAACAGCAACAGAGGCCGGGAAATCATTTCGGGGCATTGTAAATTGCCAGCCAGGACACACGGACACACGGACACTGGCACGGGCGTGAGCAAGGGTCCCCCAGCAGCAGAGCAGCAGCCATCGTCATTCTGGGCAGCGCATTTAAGTTGATCCAATGACATCAAATTGACATTTTATGCGCCAATTTTAAAATGGCGCCACGGCAACGGCAAAGCTCTAATTATGTGGCCAGGGACGCGCAAACAGTTTAGACTATCGCCAACCTGCCTCACGTCCCTGCTTGCCGCTTCCTGTCCCATACCCCTTGACCCTTGCACTATTCAGACCAGCCGCGCGACATTTTAATGCGGCATTTGGCGGTGGGCGTTGGCATTTAAGCAGAAAGTTGTCGTTTAGTATTACAAGTGCTCGTTGACTCTCAATTTTAACATCTGGTTAAATTGACATACAGCGTGTACGATATAAATCTACATATGAATTAGTCGAAGGCTCTAATAAGTTAGTTTTAATTTTGTATTAAATGTTATGTCTGACAAATAAATATATATGTAACTTTTTAAATATATTTGAATAAAGAAATATACAATTTTGTGCTGTAAAAGAATAAATATTTAGTATTTGTGTTGTTTTTCTAATCTGCATAACAAAAGTGAGTAGTGATTGTCAATTATACTATATATAAACACTTGATAAGAGATATATATAAGTAAACATATTGAGCTTAAAATGCTAATGATTATTTTTTTTTAATTTTAAAAAAAAAAAAAAAAAAAAAAAAAAAAAAAAAATGTACACTTTAACAAATATATTTTTTATTGAAAAATGCCGAAAATAATATCTAACTGTTATTATACAGTATACACGACCTTCGATTAATATGTTAAGCTCTTGCAACTACAATGCAAATCATTTCAAATATAATAGACCGTATAATAACACACACACACACTCACAATATATCTTTAATATAGTTTCAAAAGGTTTTCAGTATCAACAAAAAGCAGAATACTTTAATGAAATGAACTGGGCAGTCGAAGAGCCCGGCACTTGCTGTGCGGCTTGTATTGTATTGAACTATCATTAGCCCGATTCCCCATTGAGGTCAAAGCAGAAATCTACGCATAATTAGCAGCTGGCGGCGGGGCACAGCTGGAGTCAAGTTCAGCATCATTAGCCAACAGTGAAATGGCCAACTATTATTATGGCATTAATTTATGGGCCACAAAACGGATACAGCAACTGCGGCAGCCGGCAACATGACAAGCAACAATTGCACAAGCAACAGCCAGAGCCAAAGAAAATTAAAAGCAACTTTCCCAGGCGACTTGCTAGCAGCAATCTAATAACAACATGTTGTACCACGCCTCCCACCCTACTGACTGACTATTCACCTCATGTGTGTGCGCTGCTGCTGCTGCTGCGAGTGTATGTGTGTGTGTGTGTTCGTATATGAGCGTAATTACATGACACTTGGCGCTAAGCAATTTGTTAGCAAAAACTGTCGCAACAATAAAAAGGAACTACCAACGCAGCTAAGAAAAACAGTCAAACAAGAGTCAGAATTAAATAAAACTTAATGACAGCGCACAAGCAAAGACTACAACGACAACAACAACAACAACCAAGAGAAAACAAAAAAAAAAGAAGAAATTGGTGTCTCCATTGCAGGCACAAGAACTGAGACAACTCCCAGTAGATGTCAAAAGGCACAGCTCAAATTGCAGGCTAAGCGACGCGGGCCGACCGGCCCAGCCCACCCATCCACATGCAAGCCGGCGACTCCCCAAGCCCAAGTCAAATAAGCTGACAATCCAGCAGAGACGCAAATGTCAACAGTCCTTGCGCACCCTGACAGGACCTCCACTGACAATAATTATTTGCGGGGTGTTTCAAAAAATGCCAAGAATTGCTTGTTATTTTTCCTTTTGGCTAATGCCTGAGCATATCATATATATTTGATAAGTTCCCAGACAGCTTCTTAGGTTTGGGCAGCAACAAGGGCAACGGCTGTGCTAAATATACATATATATATGTACAGCTATTTATGTCTGTAAAGCTATTTATGCTCTACCTCTCTCTCTCTCTCTCGCTCTTATTCACCTGCTAACCCCTTCTTAGTCAAGACAACAGCTAATCAAAAGATTTTGAATTAAATCATCCATGTCGAATTAGCGCAGTTATTCAATGACTATTAATTATGTTAAGTAACGCGTAGGCGCGCTTAGCATTTACTCGCTCCTGTCTCTCTTATTGCGTGGGCCGTTCAATTCATTAACAAGAATGTGCCCAGCCCCTTGTCACTAGCAGCAATAGGCCCAGATCAGCGCAAAGCCACACTAATAAGCCGAGACGCCTGACTTGTTGAACCCTTTTTGTGGGCCTAAAAGTCGCCAGCTGTTTCTAGTTTTTCATGTTTTTTCACTCGCTCAATGTTTGCATGCCACTTGAGAGTGTCGCTATTGTTGTTCTCGCTAGCTGTAACTGACAGGCATTTCGCACACTCTCATGCACAGACATGTGTGGGGGAGTGTGCGTGTGTGTGGATGCAGGAATAACCCATCCGAATGGATGCCGTCTCCCAACTGTGTAACGACTAATATTGTTTCACAGTTTTCACTTTATTTCAGTTTTTGCAGCGCTTTTTTCACCCCTGCTCATGACGTTGATGAGTTGTTGCTGTCTAAGTGTCAGGCAACGCGTCAAACTTTAAACTACACGCCAACGCCCCAAATGAATTGTTGTTCACTTCTAGCACATGGCAGAGCGTACAGCTATGGCAGCGTAATAGTCGGGACTGGAGCTAGTTGGGGCGTGCTGTCGACACATTAATTTTTTCGAGCCCCACACTTGGCCATATAAACACACATGGGGCCTTTAACTAATCTGGGATCTGCGCTTGCTTTGACAGCACTTCCGTCGAGCCAAAACCACTTGACTGATACAAAGGTGTCTGGCTGAAGCCGAGCTGGAGCTTGTCTAGACTTTGGCAGCCACTCCCAGTCGACCGGTGACAATTGCTGGAAAAAGCAACAGCAACAGCCCACACTTCGAGTGGCATGCAACACGACACGACAGCTCGACACTCGTCTCTTGTCAGCGCTCAAGTGATAGTGAAATGAAGTATGCCTCGTAGTA